ATATAAGTAAAAAGTAATAATTTATTCATCAACTCCTCCTGTGTTGGAGTTAGGCAAATAGTAGTTATGGTAACATGAAGGGAAGAGTATGTGTGTGTGTTTAATTTAAAGTAGTAGTAACTATGATAAAGGTTAAAGTCTCAAGTATATCAATGTAAGTCAATGTACTGTTTTCTGAAGTCATGGAGACACGACTGTGTGTGGTGTGTGTGTGCGGTGTGCGGTGTGTGTGTGTGTGTGTGTGTGTGTGTACCGTACACACCTCGTGATCATGATTCCTGAGGCCGATGCTGACGGAGCGGCTGGCTCTGGACAGGACAGCTGTCATGGCGTAGAGGTTGATCAGAACATCTGCTACTCTCTTCAGGATGAGCTGTTCGTCCACTATGGTCTGACAACATCAGTGATTAAAGGACAGAGTCACTCTGATCATCAATCATTTCCATCTTCAGCCATGATTAGAGTTGCTTCATTGTGAGTGTTAGGCGGTTTATTGTACATTCATTTGTAATTTATCAGGTAATGTAATACTTTTTCCTGTAAACCTCAAGCCAGAAAAAAGGGAATAGTCATCTGAAGTCAAATTTGTTCCTGGCTGATCTGCATAGGTTACATAAAGATGTTGAGCTGTAGACGGAACACACGCTCACTGGTGCTTAGAAGACACTTTAGATTTCGCTCTTGAGTGAATAACTTCCTGAGTGAATAACTTCCTGTGTTTAGAGATTCTTTGACCTGATAAAAACACCAGGATTACATCTGGGTTAATATGTTTAACCTATGTGGTCTGGTTCAAGGGAATTTGATTCTCTTAGTTTAAATCTTCAAAAAAAGATAAAGAACTAAACACACATCTGGGTGTGAGGCATCTGAATAGACAAAGATGACCCACATTTATTATAGCACACAGGCACACCTTCACTAACCATTCACATTGCTATGTATGGTAAGTGAAGAAAAATGTCATTTTATAATGACTTATATAATAACTGGCCTTCATTCATTCATATTCATATCTTCATTCATTGATGTAGTTTATTCCTGCACCTCTGATGACAAGGGCCTGTTAAAATAATGAACATTTAATTATCGATCAAAAATAAAATTTGCATAACATTCAGACAGCACCACAAAATGGTGAACTCACTTTATATAGACACAGCCTCAGTCTCTCTTCATAATTTAAGTCATAAAAGATTCTAACCCGAAAACCATTCTAAAAATATCTTCCCCTGGTCTCAGCTGTAACGGCTAAAGAGAAAAAACCAGTAAAAAACTATTAAATTTATAATCTATGATTTCCTTTGCTTTGAGTATTATATATACTTCATATACTGAAGACTACAGTGTGATTAAAAGCCCACTGAGGACACTGTGCTGGAACAAAATGGAGTCAAGTGAAACAGGAAGTGGGGATTGGGAAAGCTGAGCTGTTTCCAAGAGGTTTACAGCTTCTTTGGGGAAAGCCATGATTACAAAAGCACAGTCACATAGAGAAGTTTTCTCAGAGGAAAATGGAGGAGAGTCTGGAGCAGCTGTCCTACGGATGAACATCTCAAACACTGACTGGAAGATATGAACACATCTCTAATGACATAACGAATCAACGCGTGCATTCAGCCGTTTGAGACAAATGGAAAATGTATCCAAAGGAATTGGAAACACTGGTGCAGAAAAGACCCACAGCTGTGAGTCTTTTTTATTTTCCAGAATATATAATAAATGTAATGTTACCTTTCCGTATCTGTAAAGCAGGCTCTCCACTGTCGATCCAAAGAGGTTGACATTCTGCTCCAGCTTCTTGGCACTTTCCTGCAAACAGAAAACTGCTGAGCCTCTCCAGAATAACCAACACGTCTGTAAGTGTTCAGACAAAGTTCTTACTGCCATGCTGGGATGCACCACGCCGTCTTTGCCCGTCAGGCCAAGGTCCACTGAGCCTCCAAACGAGCTCCTCAGTTTCTTGCCTACCATCCCCAAAGCCAGACCGATGTTCCCTTTCTTCATCTCCCTGGAAGCAGAGCAGAGCACAGACTGAGGGAGTGGAGCAAACGTCTGATGTCAACATCAAGGAGTCAGTGTATGATCATATAAAGAGACAGAAGGACTGAGGCCGGGTTTCAGAGATGGTTACAACAGACTACATGCCAAGAACCTTAAAAACTTGTGTGTGAGTGTAACAAAGTGAACCGGTGCAGATTTTAAGGCACCAGCAAACTTCTCTGAGTTACTGCACCGATTTTGAGAGCTTCCTCAATTTATGTTTAGTGGCTAAAACGTTAGCGTATTTCATAATGTCAATATTATATGAATATCTCTCCCAGCTTCAGGCTGTACAACCTTCATATTCTTACTTGATTTTCCCAGTCACAACTTTGCCAGCATACTGCATCCCAGTGAGAGCGATGTACATCCTCAGGATTTCATTGGTGCCCTGAAAAACACACAACACAATCAACACACTGCACACCTCATGTAAATCTCCTTTGGATTATAATACGCAGGGATAGACTGTTTCAATGAGAAACTGCAGCTCTGTTTACCCATATATAAAAGAGAGCTTTGCCCTCCACGATAAAAGAAAACCTAAACTGTACATTTAATCCATGTGATTTGATATTAAGTCAAAGCCGCCACCTAGTGGCCACTTACAGAATGATTCTCTGAACAAACCAAATATAGTTCAGTCCTAATTCCCATCCACCTAACTAATTGCTGACCAATCGGAAAGTGTGGAAAAAAATCTGAACATTATCAAAATCATTTATTCAGAAAATGGTCCAAATGTTGTTTGGGAAGTTTTCTTCTTTAACAACTTCCATAAAAAACAAAGGACATGATCTTCTGTCTCTCTAAAGATCTGGTTTTATTGGCTGAAGAATTACCAGCGTACCTCAAAGATAGGCAGGATGCGACAGTCCCTGACGTAGCGCTCATAGGGGTAATTCTTCGTGTAACCCAGACCTCCGAGGACCTGAAGAGCTTCGCTGACACAAATCCAGCCTCCCTCTGAGCTGAACACCTGAACAGGAGATACAGAAAACACATCATTATCCATGGACGGTTTTTTTTATTCTGAATTTACATGAACAAATCTTAATGAGAGAGATTTCTAACCTTGACCATGGCTGCCTCTATAGAACAGTCTGGAAGCCCTGGCCTGTCCATCATCCCTGCTGTCAGGTACGCCATGCTCTCCATCACAAAGGCACTGAGAGCCATCATAGCAAACTTCTCCTGCAGTAACAAACGCACACTCATTCACTTCTGAGCAGACTGAGAGGTGAAGGTTGTTCACTTGATTCCTGTGGGAGGAAGGTCGACTGTACCTGAATCATACCGAACTCACTCAGGCTTTTGTTAAACTGCTTCCTGGTTGCCGCGTACTCAGAGCTCAGTTCTACAGAGAGTCAGACGTAGACGATGTCAAACTTGAGACATTTTACCAAACACACACACACACATACACACACACACACACAAGCTCTTATTCAATCCTCTTGTACAGGGGCTTTTACCTATGAGCTTTTTAATCATCCCAGCTGAAGAACTTCCCATACTGAACCTCCCTGAGTTCAGGATGTTCATGGCAATCTGTCCAACACAAAGCAAACGCTCACATAACCTGACAGATATACGCTCATGTACAACAGTTTGTGTTAAGCAGCGAGAAGCTCACCTTGAATCCACCTCCTATTTCTCCTATTACATTCTCTACTGGCACTGGGACGTTGTCATAGGACACTTCACACGCTGGACAAGAAAAAACAAAGCACAAAATATGTGAAAGTAGGAAATGCACTGTAATTATCAGAGTGGATTAAGAGACAAATATGCTCTTTTTTATTATTTCAGGAAATACATTTAAGCCGATGAATAGAGCCAGTACTTGCAATGACGTTATTATGCCAGCGGTTGACACGGTACTGTGTCTAGTTGGAAAAAGTGCTTGTGACGCCAAACTGCTGAGCTTAGGTAGGGCTGCATGCCTGGGATCTGTCAATGGTCTGGATATGAGAGTGAGCATGCTGCTTGTGTGGTTGTTTTTTTAGCATCAGAAGATGGCACCATAATATATAATAAAACAAAATTCAAGGGGAAAAAATCTGCAAGTAATACAATTACAAATCTTATAAGTCACCTGTAATGTCGTCATAACAGAAAAGCTGTATGGAAGGAATGCCATGCAGCTGTCACCAGCAGCAGATAGCGTTGAGGCGAAAAAAAAAGAAACGGATCACTGATGTTTGGAGACAGTGAAAATACTAAAGCAATCAACGATAAAATCATGGAAGTTAGAGCCCTTGATTAAGAGCTTTTTTCTGTAGTGGAACACCTCGGGTTTTGCCTTTTCAAAGCACATTTAGAACTGTGGTATACTCTCCCGAGCTGCTGGTACCCCTGACGTGTCCCGAGCTGCCCTCTACAATGCGGTTACCGTGTGAAGAGTCCGAATCGTTGTTTGTTGTTGGTTAGGTCAGGTCAGAGCTATGGAATAATAAATCATCCATCTATGCTCACTACATCTGAGCCCTTCTTAAATTTCTATGAAGTTTGTTTTTTAATACAAAAATGTGAGATTATCGATCATTGGTATCAGAATCGTTTACGAGAAGCAGGGAATATTGGTTATCGCCCTGTCGGTTAAAGATAATCCATATTGTTAATCCCTCAGTGAAAGTTGTCATTCTTCCATGCAAACTTGAGGACAACTCACTGTTGGAGCCTCTGATGCCCAGTTTGTCCTCAGGCTTGCCGCTGGTGATCCCCCCAAAAGCTCTCTCCACGATAAATGCAGAAATCTTATCTTTCTTCACGCCGTCTACTGTCACCTCCGTCCTGGCAAACACCGTCATGATATCTGCCATCCCTCCGTTTGAAATCCAGATCTGAGAACACGGATGAAAAGACAGAGTTTAATGACGGAGGAACAGTGTGGGAGGATTCTACGTCGATTAGATTAGAATGATATTTTACTTTAGAGCCGCTGATCAGGTAATGTTTCCCGTCTTCTGACAGGGTGGCTCGGGTCTGAATGGAGGCTGCATCACTTCCACTGAAATGAAGATAAGAGTGTAAGTGGATTTAATGATGAGACACGAAGCACAGATCCTATCACAAATTACCGTGATGGTTGAAAGGCGTCATTTTAATTCTTAAAAAGTGAAAAACTACTGTTATTTACTTTTGCCAGGTATAGTGATAAGAAAAGGTTTTAATATTTTCATGTTATTCCTTTGAATGTATATGAATGCGGCTTTGTTGACTCAGAACAGAAAAAGATCATTTCAACTAATTCATGTTTCTTTTTAAATCACAGATATAATTACCTGGGTCTATGGCATCCTGGCATTCACAAAAGTAGGATGAAGCCATATATTGAAAACATATCACCTGTAACCTTTAATAACGTTCTTTTCTTTCAACAATAGAAAAAGAGACTATATTTCACTTTCATAAGTACCTTTACAAAGTGAAATCTAAAATAAAAAACACAAAAGACAGAAAAAAAATGAAAATATAGAAATGATGTATTAATTAGTGAGCGGAGCAGCTAACCCAGTAATTAAGTTTAGTTACAGCCCTCTACAATGGAGCAATAAGTTAAATAAGGGAAATGTGGCCCATTTATGTTGTTACTGGAGTTTCATGTCTCATGATTGTGGGGAAGGTTGATAAATCGTTTATTTGATGACCAAACTTTCCACAGTTGTTATTTCTCATTATAAAGTTTTATTCTGCTCTCTCCATGGAAATGATCTATTACAAAGACTGACAATCATGACTGAAGAACATATTATCAACAGTAAAAATCTGTACAAGATATCAACTTTATTATTCATCAAATAATCAAATGAATTATAGGATATTATGAGTGGATGTCAGAAAATATATCATTCTTTAAATGTGTGAATATTTCTCCGTGTGGCCTGATATATTTTCTCTGTTTATAATGTCTTGCTTCACCCGCAACCAAAGTAACTTCTCACAGACTGAAACCTACTGAACCCTCATTAGTTATAATGGGAAATGTTCAGACTCCACAGGGCATTCACCACTACACGAGGCTCGAAGCATAACTGTGTCTGCAGAGGGACATCGTAAACAAGCTGTATGTGAGCTGTCAGTGTCTTTACCTCCCAGGCTCTGTCAGACAGAAAGCTGCGATCTGTTCTCCAGTGGCCAGTGTGGGTAAATACTTCTGCTTCTGGGCTTCGCTCCCTGCGATCAGGATCCCCTGAATCACACAGAGCAGTCACAGACCTCATGTGATGTTTCAAACTTTATGATAGATTGACCAAACACGTAAAGTAAGATGATGAGCCACAAGTTTCTTAAAACTCTTTTATTTTTACCTTCAGGCCGATGGCTTGATGTGCAGCCAGTGTTACAGCAATGGAGCCGTCTAATGAGGTGATCTCTGCCAGTCGGGCGTACATGGTGTTGGACAGTCCGAGACCCCCTGGGAGGAAGACAAGAGACGCTGCCTTCAGTTTGAGTTATGACATGACAGCAGGACTGTTTTTCTAATGTTACGTGTGTGTAATATAGAAAGATTTGAAATAAGAGGAAACAGCTAATCTGGCTCTGGTGTCTCATCTAACTTCCTGCAAGAAAGCACACAAACACGTTTTCTATAATGTTGATGTTTTCCTCCAAAAGCAAAAAAAAAAGCAGTCCTGATATTCACATTGCTGCACGCTGATGCACACATGTCAGAGTGTAACAGAAGCACTGGCTGTGTGGAGTAAAACACAAAGGCCACAAAACAAAGAACACACTTTGACTATGAATTGTCTGTAGTATTGTGAAGAGACACAGTTTATAGTAAGTGGGCCAACCAACACAAACATTGACACAGTTATTTAATTACATTATTCATACCGAGGAGATCTGCCAGGAGGAATCAGACAAACCGCCCAAATCCATGTGTGCAAAGCTTGTACAAACTCTGAGCTGTAATTGCTTCCAAATGGGCTTCAACAAAGAACTGAAGGCCTGGACACTTTTTACAGATGAACCGTTTCAGGTTTGGATTTGAAGTACAATTGCAAAAATCTCAATTTGTCATTATGGGTTATTGAGGACAGAATGATGGACAGATCAATTTAATCCATTTCAAATAAAACTATATGTGTCTGAATGCTTTCTGAATTCACTGCAATGGTATGTTACTTTTTCAGACACACACTGCACTTCTGATCATTTCAAGTCAGTGAGAATTGTATGGGCTGTATGTGAGAGCGCAAGTATTCGAGTGAGAGGCTCCGGAGTTTCTCAGGAGTTTCTCTGGCCAGTCTCCTCATGGAGAATGTCCGAATGAGCTCATGTGAGAATACAGAAGATCATCTGCTGGATTCACCGAGGGTAAATGTGTGTGTGTGTGTGTTGATGATGTTTCTATCAAATGAAAAATGCAAAACTAAAAAAACTAAATGAATACATATATCTCAGGGATGAAGACGCGGTGCCACACATGTAGAAGACACAGACAAAGACGTCTATTTGTTCGAGGTTTCTTCCGGTTAATTTCTCTCCAGTCACCAAAGAGTTTTCATATTGTGGGAACTGCTGGTTTCTCTATGATTTTTCAGGTATGGACCTCACTATTTAAAATGCCTTGAGATAATGTAAGACAGGATTGGGCAAATGCAATTGAATTTAATTAAACTAATGACACAATTGATACTACATTAACATTAGGCTAAATGATTTTTGGATAAACAATATTTCTCCATGTAAGGAGAGATAAAGAAAACAAAGAAATGCCTGCCATGTTTAATAAATGACCTTCTCCTAACAACACTGTCGTTTTCCACAGCTGATTGCTGTGGATTGGACTGAACTACAGATGTTTTCTAGAAACAGATTCTCGCATTAATATATGATTCAGCGGTTGAGATATTCCTCAGGTTTTAATGGTAAAACATGAATTATTAAACGATTGGTCAAACTGGTGGATCTGGATTCAGGTCACAGTCGTCTCACCGTACTCCTCAGGAATCATGATTCCAAACAGTCCAAGCTCCTTCAGCCCGTCCAACGTCTCCTGAGGGATTTTAGCTTCTTGGTCGATCTTAGCTGAGTCGACTTAAACCACAAAAGACAAGTCTGTCAGATAACAGCTCATGTGTAAAAACATTTGCAGTTTTTATTTGAACTCTTCTCCCACCTTGCTCGCTGAAGAACCTCTCCACCGGTGCAACGAGCTGGTTGATCTCCTCCAGTTCTTCATTTCCAATCTCGGGGTAAGGGAAGACCTCGGCCTGGGGGAGGAGCAGACTGTTTTAGAAAATATACTAACAGCATCAAACAGAAAAAACAAGTAGAGATACGTTTCTACTTCTGAGGTCAGACGCTACGACTGCAGAATTAATAATGATAATGATAATGATAGCTTGAATTGAGCTCCTTTCAAGAGACCCAAGGACGCTTAGCTCGGGCATGGAGGGATTTATAGGTGAGAAGGAGGAGATTGTGCTTGATGTGGGCCTTGATCAGGAGCCAGTGGAGGGGAATGTAATTTACATAGCACTTTTTAAAAACAGAGTATGCAATTTGCTTTGACAACAAAGCAAGAAAAGTCATTTAAAACTTGAACAAGTAAAAGCAGTAAAATGACAATAGAAAAAAAGTAAAAGAAAAGGTCAAAAGAAAATGATAAAATCCCAGTATCACAAGAAAGCAAGTCTATAAAGTGGGTTTTAAGAAGTGAGTTAAAAGAAGTCACTGACTACGATATGTTGAGTTCAATATGATGATGTATGTTGTGATTTTGTGCAAATAATATTTCTTAAAGTGAATTGAATTAAGGAGGATGAGGGGGTTGTTTCAGCTGGTGAAGAATATAATGAGAATAAATCATTATATAGAGGAATGGTACGTTTTCATTATTATATATATATATATATATATATATGTACATAAAGCAAAGCAAACTGCTTGATATGAAATGATCTGAATGTTCATTACTAAGAGCAGCGTGGTCCTAAATAAAGACAAGGACTTTGCTCTGGAGAGATTTCAATAGTTGTCGTGGGGACATGGGATGAGGTCATGTTCCTCTGTGCACCAATCAGGACTCAGCAAGTTGTTGGTTGACGTTTCCAGTCAAACCTGATGGAGGAGACTGGTCTCATGTAAAACACACGAGAAACGGTCTCACAGCTCGTGTCTCTAAGTTTGGTGCCATGTTTCCAGGAGCTCTACATCATGCTAAATGATCTGCATTCACTTCTAGTCCTGATAGTAGAGTTTGTATTTGTTTTCCTTCAGATGAAACATGTAGACATATATATATATATCTCAGTATCCTTTTGGAATCAAGACGTTTACTGTTACTATTTTGTGAAAAGCTCAAATTGGCAAAAAGTACTTATAAAAGTTGGAACAATAAAACTAATACTAGGATAAAAACACACAATAGACTAAAATAGACAACATAAATAATATAAGATGATAACTAATAAGTGGACATGTCAGTTCAGCAGTGTTTCCTGTGGTGTCACCTCAGGGGTCAGGTGGGGACACAGTCCTTGTTTCTGTTTGCCAGTCTTTGGTTTCAAACTACCAACCTGCACCGTGTGAACTGAATGTCGGTGAGAGCTCTCTTACCTTGTTGACCTGACCCAGGAACAGATCTTTAGCATAAGACAGTTTCCTGCTGTGAGTCCGGATCAACCTCTGCTGCTCCACACGCAGCACCGCCTTCCCGGCATGCCTCACGTTACCGGCGAGCAGCCGCCTGCCGATATGAAGAGATTTGGACAGAACGATGTTTGCACTCATGTTTCTTCAGAGACTCTACAGATCCAGCTCCGAGGAAGCATCACACACCAGCCCGGACAGGAACCTTTCACCCATTTCTGTCGCGTACTGATGACGCCAGAAGAGTGTTAGATAACACGTTCAATGACCCTCGTAAACGGCGGGATTGTGTGTAAAGACTATGAGCAGCTTTTTATGAGACGTCAGTGACAACATGAGGATGAATAAGTAACAACAGTGACAAAGATGTTCATGAACCAAAGATAATCCATCTTATTGTTGAAGTAAACTAATCCTTCCCTGCACATTGTGAATCTTTGGGATGTTTTTATTCTTGCAGTAATTTCATCTAAAGAGAGAATGTTTACCCAACAATTCAAACTATGTTAATGCAATACAAATATTACTATATCCAACTAAAACAAAAAATAGATATCAAGTGCATGACCCGGGAGTCCTAAGTAGTCAGTTAAGTTTGTGATTCCCGACAGTGCTTGAACGCTTCATCACAATACCGCTAGAACACCAGTTGGTGGCGCAATGTTCAAAGGAACTGGAACAGGGAATAACTGATATTAGATAACAAATCAATAAAAGCCGTATCAAATCTTCTGCCCTTCAGTTTATAGGAACATATTTTCATTGTCAGTGTGAGCTATTGTTTAGGTTTCCTTAAATTTACTATTTCTGAATCTCTTTAATATATATTACATATATTTCCGGTCATGTGGCCATAAACTAACAAAATATAAATTCTCAAGATATCTCAAGATTAAAAAGTAAAATGCATGCACGCATTTATTATTATTGTTATTATAATATCTGTTATTATTATTATTATTATTAGAACATTTAGTTATTAATTATATCAGATTTGGATCATGTTAATAGCTCGGCACTATATGCATCATATGTGGACAGTGCATGTCTCTCACACAGTATCCACTGTTCCACGATGCACCCCCACTCTTTGCTGGCAGAGGAAATGAAGCCCCTTGGTGGCCCAGCCCAGCTGCACGGTGACGTCGTCCTGCTGACAATGATGATGTGGCCCTCAGAGCTGTGATCTATTTTTAGCCCCAGCCTCAAGGGCCAGATAGACAAGCAGGGCAAACTGTCAGTCAGACCACCTGCCACAGTCAGGCCGCCAGCCACGCGTGCTGCTTGTGCAAGACTGAGTGTTCTGCTGTTTTAACCTTCATCAGCAGAGACAGCTTCTGTTTAGGTTGATACAAACACCTGACTGCAGCTACAGAGGACTTCTGTACTGTTGTCTGAGTAAAACACAAGCAAGTCTGCGTCACTTGGAGCTTTGGCTGATGATGTCATCAGGTTTATCTCAGCTGGAGCCAAGGCAGACAAATGACAGACAGCCTCTGTTACTAAGTGTGTGTAAGTTTCTAATGTGTGCACGTTTACCAAGTAGGCAGTGTCTAATAAAAGATGGGGCTGACTATATAATGGAAAAGCTCCAGCCGGACGTAAGAGCTGAGCTTCTATTCTGCAATCACACAAACATTTCACATCACATTGGTTTTAGTTTTGAGCAGTAACTACATAGATTCTGCGATCTTCACTATAATGGGAGATAAAATTCACAGAAAATGAAATGATTGATTAAAAAAAAGACAATAGACAAAGTGTGAAAGACTTAGTTTTGGTGGCATTACAGGATGTGGTTGCATAGGATGTTGACCTCCTGACATTAATATCTTTAAAATCTTGGCTCAAGGGTTAATTGTTACAATGTTTTAGCAGATGATGGAAAAATCTTGTGATTTTGAGAATAATCTCATAATATTATGAGATTCAAATTGTAATTTTATAAGAAAACATTTATAGTATTACAAGAATAAACATGTTTTCAGTAATAACCACCAAGGGGAAGCCATGCTTGCAAAAGTTCCACTGCTTCTGTATCCAAAATCTTCAATATCAAACGACAACCAATGATGGCCTCACTATCCACTACTACCAATTATTTCATCTGCCACAAAAGAGGCAATATCCTCCATGTCTGTGTGACTAATTTCAAAGTCCTTAATAACATGGTGCTGTCAAAAGTTTCATTAATTATTTAAACATGAAATCTACACTAAAGTAAATGTAATAAAAATGCTCCACATTCCTCATTTTAACACAGAAAACAGGCTAATGTTCAGATATTCCCCCTGTAAAATGACACAGCCTAAAAACTTCAATCTCTAACATTGTGACGTTTTTCCTTATACTATGACTTAATTGTCATGAAATTTTAATTTTTTTTCTTGAAATTTCAGAATTGTTTTCTCCCTTTAAATGGCCTTAATATTCAGTTGTAAAATTGTTGACACAGTGATTTGTTGAAGAAATATTTGAACCACTTTTGGGTATAAGAGCATTGCTGCCACTCTGGGGGCCAGTAGAAGAAAGGCCCAGTGTGGCCTGAGGAGTCCAGCAGTGCATTTAGGAGGAACCCCACCTTCAGAAAGTGGGATTACTGGATTTATCCACTCATTCAATTGAGACCAGGAAACCAAAAAGAAAGGACGCCCAGACGCAGGTCAGGTTTTACAGTATATCATTTTATTTCGCGTTTTCAACATCGTCACAGTACTAGTTTTACATCAACAGGGTTTTGTCTACTTAGAAACAGAATGCATAATAAAATAAGAGCACTCCTCCCTTCCCTTTGACTTGAAAAGTGGGCTGTGAGCGTGAGACAACAGGGGCATCCCAGGGAATAAGTGAGAAGCGGCGTTTAACTGTGTAACAGTTGGCTGTTCATCTCTAGATCCTATGATAATTCAGTCCTGTCGGAGGCAGAGAGAAGCAGTTTGATGATTATGTAAATATCAGAGGGGAGCAGGAATGCACCTTCAATGTAACTGCAGACATTGAGTAGTAGTAGTAACAATAATATTAATAATAATGATAATAATTTACAGACTATTTACATATGGTTTCTCATTCTTTACTTCCCCCCCCACTTTTAAAATGTTCCCTCCCTGTCAAACCCTCTTTACTTCTTCTAGTTACATTAGATTTCCCAACATGGATTTTGTTATTTACACTCGGCAGCAGCAGTGTACTGCCACGTCTTTATACTGTACAGTGGAAACAGAGGTGAGATGCATGCCGGGGTAGAATGACACGTCTTGCGATGAAAAGACACACTAGCAGGCCAGAGCTCATCTAAATGTAAACAAGCATCCGTCAGAGAAATCAAAACTACACGTTGAAAGTTCAGGGTCTAGTCGAGCCGGCTGCCGGAGAGAACAACAATACAAAAGAAAAGAAGAGTAAAGAAATAAAATGGTAGGCATCAATGGCATGCAACAAAGCACCTCACACAGACTCTGGACAGGTGTGACAACAGACATCAGTTTTCCAAAGGAACTGAAGGGTTGTTACTGAGAACACTTTGATTAGACGTCATCTGGAGAACTAGAGCTTTCTTCTTGGCTCATATCGGCTCCATTATTACTCAAACACTAGATAATCAGATGCTGCAGAATTAGTCGAATGAAGCGTTGGGGTTGGTCGATTAAATTTGGTTCTCAATTTATTTGGATTAGAACTGATTCAAAATGTTACGACCATGTAACACTGGCACTCTCCTGACTGCATTGAATTAAAATCTGTGTCAAAGGGTATATTTGATACATCGGGGTCAAATATTAGATTCTACATCACTCACATGAAGTACTGCAAAACAAAAATTTGATTGTGAGAAATATTCTGAAAATGGTACCACTTTCTAATAAGACACCATTTATAAAGGATATATAGGCTGTAACCAATGATTTCTTTGATGGCAACTACATGCAAATGCTTTATAGTTCAATAATACACCAGGATATGAATCAGTTTTATCCAAGGTTTTCAGAAGTGGAACTCCACTCAGATCCTCAAGCGTCCCATCATGTGCTCGGTTGAGTTAGTAGAGGAACGCCTTAACACCAGCCAGTGTCAGTAAATCGATTACTGTGAGATTTGCAGGAAACCCTGCCCTTCATGACACATTCTTTAATTGTCTTTGCAAACTCTTTAGCTTTTCATCAAGACTGTGGCCACTAAAAGCTGCCCTATGGAGTTTTCATTTAAATAAGCAATCAATATTAATGTCAACAAACAGTGCACATCTTTAGGTATATTCTTCATTGTGCATTGTTTAAATCAAGCTTTGCTGAACATTGCTCCACAGCGCTACTAGTGGTCAAAAACTCCAGACGACACCTTTAACTGCAGGAAAACTGCTGAACATCCCTATCTAAAATCTCATGTCATGTGTTTTCAACTGTAGAATTGATGGATTATTTTAAGTTAACATTTATAATTGTAGATGACTTACTCACATTTGTTGAAGGATAAACAACAGCTCAGGGAATTTCTTTTTATAACTTGGGGACAAAAAGGTGTTTTTGTGAAGGGCTCATTGTAAATGTACGAAGCAGCAGTAAAAGGCTGATTAACTACGAACAACGTTGACAGTGAAATAACGTAACTGATTAATTCGATTAGTTACAACTTTTAAACTGATAGTAAAGGGTTATTAGAAGGTGGTACCTTGGAAAGCTTGGGGACAGCTGTGGGCGCCATTGACAGAGACAGATGATAAATATAAAGATAAGAGAGTTCATTTCCTTACACTCTGCTGTCGGTCAATCATCTCTCTGATTTCCAGATGTCACCACACCCGCTATATGAAGAACGATCGAGCTCTGACTACTGTTGTACATTAAGATCCACGAAATGACTCTTTGTGGATTAGGAACTGGTACAGGCTCAGTTTTCCTCCATGAGGAACACAAATACGACTTCTGTTGACTGTAATCAAAGAACTATTCTACCATTCAATTTTCACAACTGTCAACTCTGATATAGTTTGGGAATACACAACAGTCAGAAATTTGCCTCAAAAATACATTGTTACATGCAGTTACTTTGTTTGACATTCTTTTTCCGTGTGGAGGGTCCAGTCCTTTCAGATCAGAGTGGAGACTTCGCTGATACATAGAGGGAGAAATGACAAAGGACTGTGGGGGTAAAAAGACTAAACTAACAGAACTAAACAAAACGGAACAACCACAAGATTGCAATTGCTCAGAGACAAAAAAAGTAAATACATATTGCACAAGTTAAAAAACCCATCTCATAGTCTTTAAGCAGATACAGACTAACTTCTGCCATTGATATCAACTAAGTAAAACAAGTGCCGTCTGTGTCACAACAGAAAATATGCTCTACCACACCGGCCCTCTGCCTCCACCCTGCACACACACAACAGATACTGTGCACAGGAAGCCTGGGAGGTACGACCAGCCATCCCATAATATGTCGGAAACATGATTGATATAAAACTGCCATTTGCGGTGAGTGAAGCGTAAGAGAGCTGCCGCCATCACAGAGTGATAATTATTGATTTCTGTGGCAACCCGCGTGGCATGGAGGAAAAGTCAGATGGAGGGAGTAAACAGCGCTGCACGCTGCGCTCGCTGCTCAGGAGAAGCACAGTGGAACTAAAGACGGACAGGGTACACTCAGCCAGCTGAGAGCTTCCACATCAGGAGAGACACTTGGACAGTCATGTTGCTGTTTCCCTGCTACACAGACTTCAAAAACCTCCTACTGCAGAGCAGACTTGAAGAATCCTACCAGGTTGCGGTAGAACATAAAATATAGAGCATTTCGTATTTTTATATCGGACTCTTAAAAAATAGTTAAAAAAATAAAATGGCGGCGCACAAGCAGCCGGTAATGGAGGTCGGACATTCAGGTGGATCTGTTTGCTCAGCAGCTCGCTGTGGCTTCCTGTTTCCAGAGCGGGAAACACGACTCCAATAAACCAATGAAGTGCATGGATGGGGATGAGACTGTACGCGGGCTGGTGAGCGCTGGCCGTCAACAATCCCGACAGAGTTCTAACTCAAAGGCAACCATTTCCACTAGTGTTCCAGTGGTGGATTACTGAATTACCTAACTGATTGATTTCAGAAGTGTGAAGCTACGCCACCTATGTGCGAGTGTAATACTGAGAATTTTTCATTGATGCCATTTGTTCCGTAATAATAATTATAATCACAGCTGATATTATTATTTTACAAAATACTATGCACAATATACATAAAGCGATTTTTGTGACTAAATTAGTAAATGCTTCAATAATTGGCACATTTATCACTGCTAACAGAGATATCACAGTGCACTGTGAGCTACCGCTACATTAAATACTCGTACAGCTACTGCTGAGGCTGACCCTCTGTCTGTCCGTCTGTGTTCAGCCAAACCACCCTGACACGAGAGACAAAATCACTTTGTAGACGATATTTACTTCTTGTGTAAAATACAAGTGAGATATTTGATCATGTTCTGAGATTAACTGTGGAGGAGGAAATGGAGTTGTGGTCTTTGTGCATGCTCTTGCGTTGTTGTCTGCTGCTGTCGAAGCAGACAGACGTGATTTATGACCTGAAATGAAATGGAAGGAACGAGAGAAAATCTAAAGTGATGAATAAACTGTCCCAGTGATGAGCGTTATGAAAAAATACTGAAGGAGACGCAGGATGTTGTCTGGCTTTACATCCCAGACCAGTGATGCACAGTGAGAACCGTCTCATCAGCCGAGAGCCTTGGAGGAAAAATCAAAGTTCAGTCCACCCCCTGCGCCCTACACCACTGTACTGATGCCGCTGTGCTTGGGCTTGGTGCTGGTTGAGGCCTGGGAGGGTGGTGGTGGCGGGCCGTGATGGTGGGGGCCGTGAGCAGGGTGGGTGGAGTGCGCTGGGTGGCTCCCGTGGCCGTGCTGCGCGTGAGGCGGATACGACGGCTGCTGGCCGTGAGACGGGGCCGGGTGGAACTGGTGCGGAGGGTGCTGCAAGTGGGCTGGCGGGTGGTAGTGGTGGTGGTGATGGTAAGGGGGGGGGTTCTGGGTAATGTGGCAGAATTGGGCGTGGTGTGGGTGCAATGGGCCCGGCGTGTCGGCCTCGACCCGGGCCGTGTGGTGCAGGTTGGTGGGGTGCGGGGTGTGGGATATGAGGGTGGGGTGCAGGGGCTGAGGGGTGGGGCTGGGTGACTTCACGCGCCTGGTGCCAAACAAAGATCCAAGCAGAGACGAGGAGTTGGGCAGCGACTGGCCGCTGTGGCGGGACGGGCAGTCTCGACTAGAGGGGGCTCTCCGCCGCATGTGAGGGCTGCTAATGATGGACCCCTGGAAGAGAGACGACAGTCAGAACACAACACACACAGCTGAGCGTCTACTTTTCCTATCCAGTGGGAAACAGCAGAAAAAAGTCAAAGCTAATTGACAAGAGACATATTTGTGGAAATGGTTTGGCTTGTGCAGTGTGCACAGCCTCGCCAATTTCTTCATGGAGCAGAACTAACTGCACAACCAGCTACAGCTGATATCAAATCTCATCTGACTGCTTATGTTGCCTCGTGGAAAAGTCTCCATTTCTTTTTTCGGTTCAGTGCCTTTGTTTGTCTCTCCATGCTAACGTCTCACGGTCAGCTGTCTCTAAAGGGTTGGTGGAGGCTCATGTTGCTGAGCTTGTGAGAATCAGATCGATCCGTCTGTCATGAAGGGACTAACAGCTTCCCTCTCTCTCTGCTGCTACTCCCGCTGCTATTGTATCTGGTTTCATGTTTACAGCTCCCTATTTCACTGTTTCCAGTACGCATGTATTTGTATGCATTACCTTTTTCATCTGACAAGCTCAGGTTCAATGTAAGTGCACGACTAACTTAACTGATATGCTTTGACGTTTCTAAATTACAGCTCAGCAGGACAAATAAAAAACACTTCATAATTTTTAAAGACTCTAAGAATAGGAACAGAAAAACATTATAAACGCTGAACAATCAAAACAAAGGTTTATGCTAAATAAAGGAAGCACATACATCATAGCCATGCGTCACATGCAAACTGAGAGTTTCATGGATGAGTTATGATGTGATCACCAGTTTCCATCAGTTATTATTAATTATGTTTGACTACACTGATGGAGCAGCCTGGTCCTTGTAGTGATTCATAGATGAAGTTCTGAGTAATGTATTATTATTATTATTATTATTATTATTATTATATAACTAGACTGCTTTGCGGTAGGGAGGAAGGTTTCAGTTATATACTCTGGCTTGAGTTGTACTCTAATATTTTGAAGACCACAATACCCTAAAAGATGACAGTATAGTCACATCTTCATCTTCATGTAACTTTTCATTGTTCTTGTAGTTGGGAAATGTACTAGTGGTGCACCTGATCAGTGAGAGCTAAAAGGCTGAAAGAGAAACCCGAAACAATAAGGAGAGCAGGTTATTAATCTCTACACCCTGCATGGGTACTGATGGCAAAAACAATGAGTCACTTTATAAACACTGAATACTGATTACTAAAGCAAATGATACTGGGACCAGGGCCTTTACAAGCACACTACTTCAGAGTTTTCGAGCCCCAAAAACTTTTGGAAATGCTTTATTCTCTAATTTAGTTTAAAAACTTTAGTTAAGATGGTGCCCCCCCCGACAATCTGCTTCCTGTTTACACCGCCATGCAAATGACCATTGAACATGAGTCTAGATTGTTTTCTACAGTTTTAAAATGAAAATATATTAGTAGCCCTAAATCACTTCCAGCATGATAACTGGCTAACAGCTCAATAAAACTAGTTTGAAGGATTTTTCAGTAACCTACAGTGCCCATCTCTGTCAGAAAATTAACATTAGAAAATGTTAAAAAATTTAAACTATTAAAAGATTAAAAATATATTAAATATTTATTTTCTGGCTGACTACCACAGAGTAAAATGTATGTATTGCAGTGTACAATCCCAAGGGATCGACTCACACATTTTTAGTATTTGTCTTTTATGGGATTTGCTGACAGTAATACAAAAATAGAGAAATGACAGCCTTGACATTTACGTTCCTGAACAATGACAACAGCTTCAGATTTCAACACGCACTTAACAACTGAAGAATTTAAGCTTGTGCCAAATTACAACCAACTACGCTAACCGGCCCTGGTCACAGTGTCTGACCTGCATGCTTGGGTTCTTTCATTGCTATTTGCTGGTGGCTAAGTGTGTCAGGGAGAATGGAGGAACTTGTTGTGAGGGTCAGGGGTCAATAAAAGGTAGCAGGTTAAGTAAATCATGTCAAACTGTGAGCATGCAGTAGCTGGACAAAGCCCAGCCAGGTTTACTTTACTGAGTGAACAGAAAAAGGACAAAATGGCTGAAAATCGAACCCAGTGAACATGAGAGGATGACTTAAATGTGAGAGTTGAACTTCAACACAGAGCAGCTGTAATGTGAGTCTGGACTGTTATTAGTCGTCACATGCTGTGTACATGAAGGGTTATAACGTATCAGCCATAGTGGATCATTCCCGTTCAGCCCGGTGCATGCATAATGTCCAAGGTGCTCACGACAAAAACACCACCAAAGCAGGAAAGAAAAACTTAATAATACAAAGAAACAATAATACAGAGACTTGTGTGTTCAGAACGAACAACATAAAGTCAGAGGACAGCTCCACATCAGTTGCATCCTACTTACTTCCATATTGCTGTCTAGTGATCCTGCACTGCTGCGTCTCCCACGCTTGCCTGCCCAGAACATGTGACATGACACATTAGACACGCCTGGTTAACACGCAACACGTTCACATATCGCTTTGTCAAGTAAAGCAGGGTTCTAAACCTTCAGGTGACACACAACTACCAGCAGGCTGTCACTATAAGGACTAAAGGAAAGGGAAGAAGCCAGACACTACCACAGCTCCACAACAAGGTCAGCATCAGGGATAACTAGAGCCCAATTATTTCTCTAGTTTCTTCCAGACAGGCACTGAACTCCGGATAATCCCTGAACATTTTCCAGTGGGGCTGTAAGTGAGAGGCGCCAGACTTTCTCTGGAGTTTCTCCTGCCAGCCTTCAAGTAAAACATGAACACAGCAGGAGATTCTGTGCAGGATTCACTGCAAGCAAGTGGGTGGGCTGATGATGATCATGCGACAGATGCAAAACTGACAAAAAATCCCCACAAAGAATTTAAATAACTTGGAATGAAAACTAGAGGACACTGACAACGAGGTCAAGAGAGCTTTATGTGATAAGGACCAACGGCAGCGGTGATCTGCTGTCGATAAAAACATGGGATCTCTACATAGTTACTCTACCTGTTGCACCTCCCCTCACATGAATGCTCTGGAGATGTCTGCGTTGTTGTGAATGTGTCTGAGCAAAGAATCTCCTGCTGTGTTATTCATGTGCGAAAGACAAACTCTGGAGAGAGTATGAACCCAATTCTCCAGACATTCTCCAGAGTTTAAGCCTGAAAATGGCTTGCGAAGCAGCAACTTGAGCTGCAGCTGGCAGGAGACCATGCAGGAGACTTGCAATGTCACTGCATTAAAGGGAAACCAGCAATTAAGTATGTAAGACTCAAACAACACCGACTAAAGAAAGAATGGTAAAAATTAAAGCATTGGATGCTGAGGTATCCTAAATATTAGAATGAATCTCAGTCCAATAAAATTAAATCCTACTTTTCCCATAATGCAACAAAAGCCTATTTAGTTTTCTTTTGTGACAATAAGAAAATGACCTTGTCTTTCAAAGTCCATGTCTCCGGTTTCTAAAGTGACATTACCCAGACACCATCGCTATGACATCAAGGTTTTCTTTAACTTGACAGATCTAATCCAGAGCCACAGAAGACAGTCTTCCAGGCTGGGCAGTTCTCCACACGATTAGTTAACTCCCTCAGAGGATGCTGTATTCATGCCAGTCACCTTTTCACACCGAAGTCAACTGTAAACCTCATGAAGTCAATTTCAGGGAAGTGGTGTGATCCTTGAACAACTCTCAAAAATCCAGCGCTGAAACAGGCCGCCACTAAAATGTGCTTTGTCTAATTCAAGAAGCATCAAAAGCACTGATTGAAACCAAACAGCTCATGTTTCTTCACTAGTCTGAGCTAAATGTTGAGGTCACTGAGTGTGTTTGTGCAGCGCAGCTCTGCACTGTAGAGGCAGCGTACCACACCCCGTCTGAATCAACCACACAACATTAATTCCTCTTACTGCTAAGACGCTCAAATTGATCACAGTGACCTACATAGCACTGGCTCCCCTTCCACTGGTGACGCAGGATTATTAGTTGATAGCCTCAAGTAAATTACACCTTGGTCCATTACTGTCAGTTGTGGCTGACGCCACCAAATCGAAACCGTTCAGGAGTCCCGCTTCTTCCAAGTTTCCAAAAGGAGAGAGAATATAACTACGCCAGCACTCAGCTCGGGTATACACTTGACTTTGTCTAGCAGAGGGACGGGACAGCTAGGGTTACCATGGCATTTTATGATTTTACCTGCATCCGAGAGGTCACGCAGGGAGCTGCTGAGGGCGCTCCTCTTCAAGCCTTCACCGATGGCGTAGCTGTCGTCGAGGCTCACTCGACTCAGGTTGCCGTTTCCTGTTTCCTTCTTTAACCCCGAACTCTGGGACATGCTGGGCCTCACCACACCCTTCTGTTTTTCTAGTTCAGCTGTAAAGAGGAAACATATGCTAAATTGACACTGTGTCCACTCACAATATTTGTATCAAGGTGAATGTGTCAGATTGTATTAAAAATATCCAAATATCAGCATTAAAGAGGAAAAAGTTTGCTCACATTCTATCCGATACTTCTCCATCTCTTGGACTTCAGCAATCGATTCTCGCAAATCATCGGTAAACTTTTTGCGGTCCTGAGGATTGGGTGCGTTGAAGTTGATAAGGACTTTGATGTCAGCTCCGGGAATGGCCGAGGTCAGGCGAACTCCATTAGGATAATCTAAAGAGTGACAATATCAACACTTTAACACCTGTCCATACAAAATACACAGACCACCAGGTAAGTCTGAAGATTTTTACCTTCAGTTGTTTGTTTTTCTTTCAGAGACATTATCCCATCAACAGCTGGGGTAAAAGGGAATTTAACTGATTTTAGAAATAGGTTTAGCTTTTTGTTGGGTAATTTTGCTTAAAACAAACCAACCAACCCACTAACAAACCAACAGACCGGAGTGGAAACAAAGCCTCTTCTGCAGAGGTAATAAATGGTTGTGATTGACAGATTAAGATCTGTCTGAAGGTGAGGGGAGCCGGACTAATGTGTGAGATTGAATGAACATGAACTGAATTTACTGATTTGGAGGATGAGTGTAAGTAATCTTCCAGCAATGTTAATATGAATGAATGAAATTGAATAATGTCCCATTTGTAGAATTCATTGCATGTTGCCTGTTTCTATGCCAGCAAGCTTTTTGCCATGTGTTTGAATGTGGTCATTTGAAACAACCCAGACTAGTTTATCTGAAGCAAACTGAAGCTTCCAAAAACATCTCTGTGGCACTTACACTGATTCTCAAAGAGCAGCACCTGCATGCCATAAAGTGAGAAAGACTGTCGAAAGCTGTACGTCACTGAGTTCTTCTTCTTCTGGAAAATTTTAGTCACCTGTGAAAAAAGCATAGCATATAATGTGGTTTGGACTCTTCCAGTGAGAAGATGTGTTGTCAATGTGCATGAAGAATAATGTCTGCCGTACCACGAGGAGGTCATTAAAGAGGAAGATCTCCCTTTGGTGCAGGCCCAGCTTTTGTGGTTTGTTGGGGTCGGGCACTTCAAAAAGTCTGCAGTAACACACCAGTCTCCGGTGGGGTAGGGATAGAACCTGCACACACAAGCAGCAGCAGCAGCTCTGAGTTGGTTTCCTCCGCCTCACAGAGGGATTTTTCAGGGCGATTAGCAGAGATACAACTTCAAAAATCCACAGTTTACATCGGTTTCATCAAGTCTCTGGGTATCTGACTAAAAGTTCCCCTCAACACCAAGATGTAGATGAAAGAAAGAGGAATACTTACACAGCCCAAACCATGATGTAAAGAGCCAATCTGTAGAGTAAGAGATACATTCAAGAGTCATTCTACAGGGATTAGAGGACAGATACAGGACCTTTTAAATTCCTGATACATCAAAAAAGACATTACACCTGATGTTCAACAACAGGGGCAGGGCTGGGGGCAGGGCCAGGGGGGCTCCCATATGTATTTGGCCCCTGAAGGGCCTGTTGAGGCTTTTTTCAAAAATAAACTGGTCACTTACTAACAATAATACAAATAAATATGACAATTTGATAAGAATGAATTTATTAAGCTTTTTGGGCAGCGTATAAGCTTAAACAAGGAGCAATTTTCAAATATATTCAATGATGTGTAGCTTTGCTCAAAGCTATAGAGCTAACAGTAAACAAGGAGTGACTTACTTGCGCACCTTACTGAGTCAGGAAGTGTGCATAGATGTTTGACATATAATTGGCCCCTCAGTGTAAATTGGGAAAAATCCTAAATGCACCACTGTTATAGAATAATTTGTGTTTCTAGTTTGTGTCAACCGTAGTGATCATGATACGGTCAAGGTCCCTTGTACTTTGTACTTTGTGTAACATGATTGGTTATTTTAAGTTAAAATACGAGTTGATTCCATAAAAATACATCAGTGGGTCAAAGAGAAGAGTGAACACCTTCAAGATTGTTGGATGAGAGACTGTTAATCTTATTTATTAATAATGAGCTCATCAGACAGCACTTCTCTTGACTGGAGTTTAGGCCAAAAGACATACCACAGTCACTAAACATGAAGGTGTCCGGCCCTGAAGTATTGATGTGTCACACAGAGACGAAGGTTCAGGTAAAGAATGTTCTTTCATTTCTTTTCCTTTTATAGAAAGTGCGTCAGCTTGTGCTCTCTATGACACAGTCGAGGTACTCTGGGTAATTTGGTTATGCTAGATTCAGGTTTTGAATAGAAGGGGAGATAAAAGCAGTCATACTCTACATGCAGCAGCAGCCAAAACTCAAACTCACCGGCTTTTTCCCTACAATGAGTTTTTCCACTTTTTGAACCTGAGACACATGGTCTTCATTAGTCTTGAGCTCCCGCTTGCGAATCCGCTCATATATTCCTACCAGCATCTCCCGGGGGATGTCCTCCCCGTCATCCACTCCTGAGCATGAGAGGAAAAGAGAGAGAACGGGGGAAAAAAGAGAAGGATTAATGATTAACTCACACATTTATGAGAGTTGATGAACTCCTGAATTTACTAACATACTGCAGAGCTGCACATATTTCTCACTGTACAGACAGAAATGTCCTTCAGAGCTCACAGAGGATGAGTGTTTCTCCTCCACTGAATACTGTACTTCAATTACTGACACTCCAATAGGCAGAGAAATGTGTTAGCCATGCCACAAAGCCCCTCTTAATACCCTCAAAATCTGTTCAGGGCAACTGGAAAGTGCTTCGGCTCAACAGCAAAAACTTCTTGACCATGACTTGCAAATGACCCCACCCCCCTCAGAACCTTATTACAGTAACAGGGATATTGATAAAAGCAAATGCATGTACAAAACTCAATTTGAGGTGAATATAGAGTGGGAGAGAGAACCGAGCACCTCTAAGGTTTTTAACAAAGTCCTCCAGCTTCATCTTCCTTTCAGGCTTGACGTTGGGGCTGTACATGTCCGTGTTGAGGAGGATGATGGCAAAGGCCAGGATGAAGATGGTGTCGGGGTTCCTGAACTGTCGCACCACACCAGGGTTGCAGATACAGTAGCGTTGGCTGCAAAGAGGATATTGGACACAGAAACTTTGATGTCAAACTGCAGAAATCTTTTTCATATACAATATTAATAATAATAACAAACATTTATAGCACCTTTTCAAAAAACATTTTTACAGGGTTCTTGCAATGAAGAATTAAGGTAAAGATCACACAACATTAGAGCACAAAATGTTACAGCTGAGAAAAGAGTAAAAGATAAAGATAAAATAGTAAAAAGAGTGGGTGGGAGAAAGACGACCTGTACTTTCTCATACAGTTTGTCAGATTGATCTCCTCAGGGAGATTGTTCCACAGAGTCGGAGCTCTGACAGGAAAGGCTCTGGGGAGTGTGAAATAGCGAGTTGGGCCAAACTTTCACAAATGTATAAAAGATTCATATACATTCAAATGTCAGCAGAAATGAAATCTCACAAAATGAAGGCTTGCTGTGAAATAATACTGTGTTAGATCTGACTGAGTATGAGAGAAACAGATTATTAAATAAAGAAGAAGGCATCAGACTTCCCTTCAAGACATAATGAATCAGTAAGCATCCTGTTTAGTGATTAGTTGCCTTTGTGGGCAGGTGTATCACTGTTCATATATTGATATTGAGCTTTCCACTGTCTGAGCTCCAGACATTTACAATCAAATAATGCTTCATTAATTCTTAGGTCAAAAGAACAATGAGCCAGCACCAGTGAGTGTAGACAGTCGATACAGCCTGAGGCCATCCGGTAGATAGGCCATGTAATAACTTTCTGAGTCAACATAAAGTGAGCTCCTAATCATATCTGTACGGTGCTGCAGGCGAGCGCCAGATGATCAGTTATTGTTGTCTCCCTAAAGAAACATACTGAGGCAAAAAATTTCCTTGCTCAGTCCTGATCGAAGCTAATTCTCCATGGGTATGAGATCGCAGCGCTACCAGAGGTTTGGAGAAAATAAATGAGGAACAAACAACATCCATCAGCAGCACGGGTGGGGCGGGTTCCTCAACTTTTTCAGCTGTTGTTCTTTAAATCATTTTTCTGCAATGATCTGCTTGAACAAAGTCTGGATTTTGAAACGGCTTTGCGCTGCTCGACTGATTTCTGTCTGAGAGTTGATTTTCTGGGGTCACCTCGGTTTTGGAGGATAAGGGTTCTTTTGGAAAGTTAGCTTGTGATATCCATTAATCATACACGATGTGTTGACATAAACACTTGACGTGGCATTGAACTCCATCATGATCATCCTGTCACATACTCAGCTGCTTTGTGTTGATTTAAGACCCTACTCGGGAAAGCATAACTTTACACCTCCTTTTGGGAGATGGAGCCACGTCAGGTGTTGTGTGCTTGTGTCCTCAGCTTTCAGAGGAGCTCTCACCTGTAGGCCTCGATCAGCCGCTCAACCTTCTGTGCCTCTCCCTGGACTCTGATGTGAGCCTGGAACTTCCTGAGCGCTTCGTCCAGCTCCAAAGCTGAGAAGTCCATTTCATCCACCACACAACTGGTGAAAAACACAGTCAGTAGAGGTAAGAAGATCAGTTTGGACAGGAGAATATACAATTCAGTGTGTAGGGATATGCATACAATGAATTTTAAAACTCTTTGGTTTGTTTTATGGAAAGCTCAACATTTTTCAAAATGGTAAAATACAGTAGGAAAAACATTTAGAGAAGATTTTTATAACTCATCAAATTTAAAATTCATATGGAATTTCTAACTAATATGTCAACTGTAGGCTATGTATTTTTTGGGAAGGATAGTTGCGGTTCATTGGATCATGCCGTTTCTTATACACGATCTAAGTTTCATTCTTACAAGCATTCAATCATTATTGTTTTCCACTGTTAGAAATATATAATTTACTCCCCTGTCCAGTCGTTGTCAGTCCTGCTCAGCTTCAGAGCTGCCCCCCCAGTAAACTCCATATTCAACCTACTCAGGTCTAATGTTTTACCTGGAAGACTCACATTCAAGAGTCTTTGTTGATCTACTGTGGAAACATCAGGTTTCCACAGTCAGAGGAAGGTTAAGTGTGCATCCTGATCACAACTCACTCAGTTAGTTTAGTTTACAACCTGCTCTTGCTTTTGCATTTCTCTGTGTACAACATTTTAGCCACTTAAAGAGAGTATAGCATAAAGTATTCAAACACATTTAATTTATTATCGGCTTATAAAGTTGTTGTGGCTGACAAGTTGAGAAACAGTTCCTTATTTACTCATCCAGTAGACAGTGACCATTATTAGCATTCATTTGGAGTTTATTAATAATAAACTGTAAATAGCAATATATGTATGATATGGTGCTCACTTTTTTTCTTAGCTGTGTTCTAGTGTCTATTGACTCCTCAGATAAATGTCCTGCTCTGTAGTTGCTTAATGAGCCATTATTTCCATCGACCAGTCAGTCTCACAGTCTAACTTGTGCACAATGCACAGTGAGTTATTGAGACATGGTTTCCTGCAATACGCTGCCTGCTGCTGGAGGAGACTGGAGAGGCTGAACCAAACAATATAGTAAGTATCTGGGTTCATCACACCAAGTGATCCCATTTCACACAATTAGATCCATTATTCATTTACAACTGTTGATTTGTTAATGCAGAAATTTTACTTGAAATGTTGTGGGTTTTCACTGTGATATTAATGACTCTGATTGACTTAGTTAAATAAAAGAGCTGAGCAGTCCTCTTTGCTGAAGAGAGGATTGTGCCTTCCCCCTCCAGAGCCCTGATACCTTGATACCTTGCATGTCAGCATTTATAGACGTTTTCTCAAGGCACCCTTTAGATATGCCTGTCAAACTGACACTGATGGACCTTTACTGGCCTTATCCTCCACTGAATCTCAATGAGCTCAGATAAAGCTGGTCTGCTGTAAGTGTGATTCAGATAAGTCTGTCCAGTCCGAAGCATAAAATAGAGGCGCTATTCAAATGAACCATGACTCACTCTTTATGACTTCCCTTTCTTATTAAAAGAAAAATCTTTATGTTTAACTGAGCTGTGATTTCCTGAGTGGGTTCTATTTCTGTTTATTTCCTGGATGTAACTTGAGTCATTATGTAGTACTCAGAAACTCCAAAGTGTGTTTGAATGATAGTAGATTGCAAACTGGCAACCCAATTTGCAACTAAATGATGATTTATAGTTACGTTCCCGGGAGGCAGAAAAAAAAGTGTGTGCTGTGGCATATGTGGCAAGTTAAATCAAAAGGCTGTTTAGAGAATCTTGATGTTTTCAGGGTGATTCATCAGCACATAAATACACATAATACAAACATGAACGGCTGCAAACTCACTCAAGGACGTCTCGGTTGAACTGTTTCTGTCTGTTACCCAGGAACTCGCCAATCATCTGCCTACTCAGGCCCTTCCTCTGAAGCAGGAAGTGGGCCACACCCACTGGAGTGTCTGGGACAAAGTTTCTCTCTATCAGATACTGGATGCCTTTTTCTGGTTTCCTGGAGAAACAGAAAAGTTGGGTGAGACAGATAGAGAGGACCAGGGAGAAACAAAAAATAGATATTGATTACACAGCTTAAATCTGTGATAAACCCTCTGCACTTCTGTACAAGGCCAAATGTGTCAGATGAGGGTCAGGATTTAGGGAAGCAGGGAGGGAGGTGGGGGGATGGAAGAGTGGGGAGGAGTGAGCTACTTTTCACTCTGGTGCTGATCACAAATGATTAAAAGGAACTTAATGGGCGGCTCTGAAAGAAACCAAATCCACAATCATCTATGATTAAACATAATGACACAGGCTCAGATGGAGATGAAGTGGGGCAGATGAGTCCCGGGCTCATTTGCACCTTAAGTAAAACAGGCCGATAGCTGTGTTTCAATCAATGTCGAAGCATATTTATCATACAGAACAAATTCATGTTGAGGTCTTCAAGAAAAAAATATTCTTCAAACCACAGGTAATGGACTGGATCTAATTTACAGCACTTCCTGCATCCCTCATTGGGTATTTAATGTGTGATTGTACAACTAAGAGGCTGAAAGGTCCCAAGCTATGATTAGGACTGGATGTGTGGGGACAGTTTGGGGGACAATGGGGACAATGGATCTTGTGTAGTGGACTGTACTTACTTGTTAAAGAGGTTTAGGCCTATGCGGTAGTGCCTTTTACGGATTATGTCATTGCTAAAAGCAGGTGAGTCCCAGCTGTTGCGAGTCTCTTTGTGGTATGTCTGCTTGCTGAGAGTCTGTTCCCTCAAGCTGTCTCTGGATGAGGACTCAGAGCTACAGTTGATGGTGTCGTTGGAGTTGGACGTGCTGTTGATGCTATCATTGTCGCCGTCCGAGAAATCAGACTCTGACTTGCTTTGTCGGTTTGCGGTTCCGTTGATGGCCAGGTGAGCCTCCAGTTGTCGCGGTCGATGGCGGGAAGCGTCTTCTTCTCTGGAAGGCCCACGGGGTGGCAAACCTTTGCTGATGTTTTTGGGGCTCTGCTGGTTGCTGATGCTTCGGTCGTAAGCATTCTGTCTCTTTAAAGAGCTGCGGTCAGAGCGATCGCTCAGTTCCACCGAGCTGTCGCTGGGAGGCTCAATGGTCAGTAAGGGTAGGTGGTCTACCCGCAAACGCTGCTCTTGGCATTCCAAGGAAGGTGTACTGCGGCAACTGGTGTCAGTGTCCCCTTTCTCATCTTTATGAGCTAGAGACCAGTAATCCTGGGAGGAGTTGAGAGAGCGGTGACGCAAGTCTGATTCTGTGCTGGAGGGTCGATCTACAGACTGAGATAGAGGCAGGGGTGGTGACAGTTCCTCTTCATCAATGTAAAGGGTTACATCACTGTAGGAAGCCGTCATCTCATCCAATTTGCGGTGATCTGAGGCGCTGTGGGAGGGTTTCACCTTGCAGCTGACTTCCCTGTCCATATCCTGGTGTCCTCTCCCTGGCTCAGAGTGGCCGTCATCCCCATGCAGACTGCGACAGTTTAGAGCGTCATCTATGGACTCAGCTAGAGATTTCACCTGTCTGGAGAAGGCATCTTCTAGTTCTGTGATAGCATCTGTGAAGTCACTCTGTGTTGTGGGGGTCTTGGCCTGCACCCCCATCTCTCCGCCATGTTCTGACTGCACTAGTGCACCGATCTTGGTGCCGTCATCTGTTAGTGAGACCTGCTTTCCCTCAAAGTAGGAGCTGTGGACTTTTTCAGGTCCTTCAAAGGAAAACTGCATTCTCATATTTGATAGGACGATCCTTCTGGACATACGGTTCTCAGACATAGAGCTTCGAAGACGCTCAAAGTTTTTGTTCATCTGATACTGGCGGAAGGCTGTCTGGATGGTACGGGCTGCATGCCGAGTTATGAAACGCCCACCATATTTACGCTCTAGCATCTCCACCTGCAGGAAGAGATGGAAAGTTTGAGAAACAACTGGAAACAGATTATAACTGTATCCTATACATATTGAGCAGTGCTCTTTGGTAAAGGATGAAGCTACAGTTTTGACAGGTTTTTTCCAAGTCTATAGACTATATATATATTTGCTGCTCTGAAGACTCAGTGTGTGTATGAAATTAAAATGAACTCAGTCCAGAAACAACTGAGAAATATTTAACTTGGCAACCCAGTTTGATTAATAAAATCGTAATGGTCTAAATAATGATAAAGAACTTTTCTTAAACACCAAAAACAAGATGCATTGGACAGATGTGATTATAGTTGGGCACTGTAGTGCTGCTGAACTGACACATAAAAATAATAATAGTTGGTTTTATAGTGTTATAATGTCTTTTAAAAAAGGATCACACTTACGAATCATTTAGGTGTGCACACTGAACTGAAATGTCTGACAAGTAGTGATATGCCTGTATTAAGGACAGTGTCCAGAGCTGAATTACATTAGCTCCTTTTTTCAAGCCTATACCTGTAACACATTGACCCAGTTTTCCACCAATGGACTGGTGGTGTCAAAGGATTCTAATTTCCCTGCTTCATGTTAGGGCCAATGTGGCCAACGGACCTTAACTTTCCACAAGGAACATGGACCATGACAGTGAGTCTCACAGGCTGCAACCAGCCCTGTTAACAAGAGGAGCAGTGTGATTTCTCATAAATAGTTCAGAGTATTTTATCACATTTGACAATTTACTGCATTGTCATCGACCTGCACAAGAGATCTTCATGTGCTTTGCTTTATAGGGTCCTATTTTATTATTGCAGGAGTGTCATTACTTTTAAAAACCCACATGGATCAAAGTGGACCCACTAACAGTTCTGAGTAAGCGGTGCTTCGTGATCCTGATAGAAGAAAACTACACAAACTGGAGACAGCGATTTGTGCAATGACATGAATTACTCCTTTATTATAACTGGTGGAGCATCTTTATGTATTAGGGTCTGTTTGGATGGACCACGTCGTAGATCAAGTCTTATTATCCCCATTCTAACTCTGGTCCAAAATATCAGGCATGGGTAGACCTCAACTTTATCGTATAAATAACAAATATATAGATGGGCAAGAAAAATTATACTTTAAAACAGGTTGTTCTGGTTTAGCTGTACTGGTCAGATACAGTTATCAAGATAGTTTTTTGTTCTGGCAACCTCACTCATTTTTGTTGATATCTGGCCAAGTAACAGGTAGGCACATACAACAAAAGCAGTTGATGTAATTATAACCATTTCAAAGTAGAAGAAAGAAGTCTGTGCAATAAAGGACCATATGCCATTTCTTAGAAGTGTTATAAACACAGAGTAGTAGTGGTTTGAAAGACTGAACAAAACAGTCTCACTGATTTTGCCTTTGTCCTATTGACTGTTGTTCTCCCACTGATGTTTTCTTTTATAGTTTTAACACTGATCTATCATCCTTTGTTCATCTAAAGATTATTTTCACTTCACTACATAGTTGTTTGATATATTTGTGAGGACATGCTTAATGATATGACACTAAATACTGCTCATTGGTCTTCCTTTCCTTGTCTGTCTACATGTATATATATTTATATATACAATAGCATCAGCGTGAGTCCCTTCAGTGGAATTACAGCACAGCATTTGAAGAGTCTACATGAGTTCACCAAAGCACATGGCACTGTTGGTCAGATGCTGAACAAACATAGTGTGCTTGTGTTGCTCTGGGTTGGGTTCCAACTATTGCATTTATTGTTGAATTTTATGAAGTCTATTTCTCGTAAACCACAAACAATACAGAACTAAATTCAAACTGCAGATGCTTCATTGATTGATAATTCATAAAGAGAACAGAGTTCTCATTGCTTGATAGCTTCATACGGCTACTGAGTGGTAGTAATATAGCGTGTTATCAATGTATAAAATTGAATTAAATTTAGAGCAGGATCTATCAATCTAAATAGATTATTTTGATCCCTAAGCAGCAGCTGTTATTGACGTATTATTAAGTTTATAAAGCTATTAAGACCAACATGTTAGCAAATAGTCAGTTAATTACACATCAGCAGACACAAAGCAAGATAAGTGTTCAGTGGAGTTGTGTACAATAAGTCAGTAAAATTACACCACTGAACCAAAACAGTAAAGTTTCTGCTGAGACAACCAAAACAATAAGCTAAAATAGGCTAAAATGCTGTCAGATGATAATGCATGTCCTTTATCATTACATAAATCGATATGATTATATAGTTTAAAATCCCTCCGCCCTGTATAAGTTGATCGAAGTTGTCCCTGTCTTTGTAATCCCCCCCCCCCACTCACCTGCTTGTCCTGTAGGTCTGATGAGAGCTCATAGCTCTCTGACAGCGAGCGGGAGCGCTTGATTGCCTCCTCCTCTGCCTGCTTGCGGAGGATGGACTGGGAGTGCTGGAGCTTGGGTCGACGGGGCCGTGGGTGGCCGGGCAGCAAGATGTGCCCGTAGAACTGGCTGTCCAGGTGGTCGGGGCCGAGCCCGCCGCTGTGGGTCACTGGGACGCAACTGTAACCGCCACTGGGGTCCACAGAGGCGCCCACCTCGCTGCCTGGAGCATCACCTTCCACACTGTGAGACAAAGAGACACACTGGGTTAGTCCAATGAGTCACTCTCCTGAAAGCACCAATCCTTTGTTTCAGCAAGAATCACGTGACAGATAGTGAAAGTGAACTTTGATACTGCAGGCAGGCAGGTATAAATATGAGTGAGAGAATTTATAGCACCACTCTGAGCACAGGGCGGAAAATACCTCGAATAACCTCAGCAGCACTGTGTCTTTATTAGAAAAGATTTAATGACTATGAATTAATAATGAATAGCAAATAGCTCAAATAGCCACATAAAGCTCAACAAACAATGATATCACTGAACCTGACTCAGCAGCTTGCTTTCTCGTGAAAAACAAAGCAATGCTATGTGATTGAAGCATGTGAAGCAGCACCTTGAATGTTAAGATCAACAAGGATCATTGTGTAGTCACTGGAGCACCAACCTAGACAGTTAATTGGATAAACCCGGACGGTGTTAAGCAACGACCAGCAGCAGCTACATGTCGACTGCAGATCTATTCACCTCCTCCACACCCCTCAGACTGTGGTGATCAGCTGAGATGGCTAAAATGCACACACTGCTCTGTGATATCCGGACACACGTCAGTAACAATTACTTTTTTTACTGGAAGAAAAGAACCTGATCTGACTGCTTTGTTTGACAAAACAAGCTGTGCCTCTCCACAGACACAAGCCTCCATTTGTTAGGCCTTTCTCTTCTTTTCTACAGAAACAGATCCTGATACCACAAAAAGAAGAATACATTGAACATTATACAGAGATTTCAATTAAATGCAGAAGCCAGCTCAGCAGAGAGGAAGGCATCTATACATACTGTATATATATATATAGTAAAGCCAGAGCTAATAGAAAACATGGAGAGCACTAGATAGTTTTGAGCCTAAATACATCTTTGTTTCCTTATACACTTCAAAACATCCAGATCTTAGTTGTCTGGGACAGGTTTAGTCAGTGCTTCCAAAATGTGAAGCAAGCAAGGTGGAGCAGCTTTTAATGCTCCCAACCAGTGCTCCCATAATAATGGAGATTGACTCAACACAAGCCTGAGCTGAAATAGCTAAATAACCTGGGTCAAAATAACCTTGATAACTTCACCCCTGCATCCCTGGAACCCCATCCCCTGAGCCACAGTGTTTACACAGACTGAGTAGTACTCCTGCATAAAGTCACTGAAGTGCACCTTTAAAACAATGTGTTATCTAATATTGCAGTAAAGCAGTGCTGGTCCTTGATTTGCACCATTGCCCAGAAGTCCATTATCAAGGTCAAGGTTTTATATTGTTATATTCTCCTAAAAATAAATTTGCCCTTGCGTGTGAAATTCGTATATGCTGATATATAACAAAATATACAAATGTCACTGCATACGAGAGGTGAGCATGCACTAAATCAAAACATTGAACCTTAAACACTGAAGCTCTATAGTTAGTATGGTGAGTGTCAGGAAGGCAAACTGTACATCGTTCATCGATTACTCAGCAGTAGTTTACTATGCCACCGTCAGGAAGACAATAAATTCCTGTTACAGGGAACAGAGCTACTGTTGCCTGCCTAACAACTGACTTGACTCAGCAGCAGAGTCGATCAGTCTGAGAGACACTTTCATGTTTAGTCACAGACTCAGGCAGCTGATTTCCTGAACTTCATCTTGAGTCAAGATGAAGTTCAGGAAATCAGCTGCCGGTCAAGATTCTTCAATGTTAAAATCTATGGTGGAAATGTCGGCTTTTTTCTTCAAGAAAAAGTACAATCAATAACATTTCATTTGGTTTGTCATAAGCTGATGGATGACGGGAAAAGGCTCAGAGCGGGGACATCCATCGAGAGACATCTATCACCACATGACCTTGTCAAATACCTAAACCTCAGTGGGACAATATGTCAAGGTTGGATAATAAAGGCTAAAGTAAAACCTCTAATAGGAAAGAGATTTGATGTCCAGGGCAGTAAACATATAATGAGTGGTGATAAATGATGCCTCACATCGTCCTGCACACACAGACTACACACTTTGTGCACACTGGATTTCAGTGAGCAACAGAGAATATTAACTACATTTTTGTTGGTATGAGAGGAATCTTGAGAGCGTTACAAAGTTCTTTGAATGTTGTCATCCCCACTATGTTGTGAGAGTTGTTGTGAGAGTTGTAAGATTACAAACAGCCGTCTCCTGTTTGAAAGTTGTGTGTTTTGTCTTCTCACCTCTTTGCTTCAGATATTTTGTCACTTTTTATACAGAAAGACAAGCCTCACCTAAATTCTACCACTGTAATAATTACTACAACTGCGACAGGTCACCTAGTTCAGGGAGGACAGTGTCCATCTGGCCTGCTCATAGATTGAGTTTGCCCCTTCTGAAGCATAATTATGGCAAGTGGAGTGATGGCAACCAATAATTGTCACTTAATGGGTGATAACATTTGAAATGGCAACCAGTGGTTCCAAACCTGAGATTTGGGGTCCCCATAAATATGAGGGGTCTTGAGATGATAAAAAGGACAGAATAGTAGAAGAATGAAAATATTGTTGTGTCACTTTTTACTAATATAGAGTTTCATGTGTTGTTATATCTTTCAAAAATATGTGATTTACACACTTTAATTAACTAGATAGTTTGACTTTCTAAGGTCAACAACAACAAAAATGTAATATCTCATCTTTAATTTGCACACAAAATCAAATATTAATGTGCTGGAAATTTCTAGGCAGCTTATTGTAGCTCAAGTAATCACGACGTGACTCCAGCTCAGAACTCATGAAATTGATATTGACCTTCTGGCAAAAAAATAATAATAATGGGACCAGGCGTATTCCCCTGACCATGACCACCATCTTCCTCTCACCTTAACAAGGTAATTTTTGTGTCTAAACCAATGAGACATTAACAATACAAGAGGCAAATCGCAAAATGGCTGTGTCATTTCTGTAATCATCACGTGTAGCAGTTGAGAAAGGGTTCAAGGGATAATTTTTCTCATTGGATAAAATGCCCCCTCCATCTCCGTCTGGACAGGAGACTCCATGCTCATTTATAAAACTCTCCATTGCCCTCCCCATGCATCCTCAACATATTTTTCATTCTAAAAGGGAACAAATCTAATCAGACAGAGAGTCCTTTAATTAGACTGAAGGGTGGGATGCAATATGTCTGCTCCAGCAGAGGATGTCTGATTGGAAATATCCATTTGTTTAGATGGAACTGCTTAGCGCTCGGCTCCAAGCAAGAGTAGGCAGACGCCTCTTGGAGCGCATGCTATGATAGCACTCTAGACATGTTTATGTCTTCACTTAGCTGGTTATGTTGCATTAGAGTTACTGAACAAGATGTTCCACTTTAGTTACACATTAAAGAGGCATGCAATGTCTTTAGAAATTCCAACAATAAAGACATTGAGCTCAATCACAAAGGGATATGGTGGTTGAGGACAAGCGTTGGCTTGGAAATATGAGAAGTACTTCAAATGTATGTATGTTATTATATTCAATATGTATGAACCCAATCTTCTCCCTGAGGAACAGAGGTTGACTCAACACAGCAGCCAAAGCGCTACTGATCCAATTCTCCTAAAGAATGCACAGAGAGAGAGAGAAGGAGAGAGAGAGAGAGAGAGCGAGAGAGAGAGAGAGAGAGAGAGAGATGACTTTGGTCTGATCTGAGGACTAGGTTTCTACTGTCTGTGCCAAGCATTCAACAGCCTCATTAAACTTAATATCACCCCCCCACCCCCCTAAGAAAATCCTTTTTAAAAATCAGAGGCAAAATGGATAAAGACAGCAGGAGGAAGATGAATGAGAGGATGCAGATATGATAACATGTCAAGGCAGAGGGAATCTCACTCGGCCAACTAAGAGTCATCCTCACATTGACAGAAACCAGGACTAAACGTATCCATTGACTTCGAGAGATGTATCTGTTTTATCTAATCTTGACACATCGGTGCCACAACGGTATCCAAAGCTTTCTCTTGAATTCATCCATCGACAGAAGCAACAAAGCCATCAACCTGATTGACTATAAGTTGTTTGTCCATACCCTCCTGACCCAAAGCAGCATCTCCTGAAATAGCGCCACAATGGTAGCAGGCCTATATGCCAGCCGCACCGGATATGGGTCACCATGGTTAGAATAATAAACAAGCAGGGTGTATACCGACAGCACCCTACCAGACCTTTGTTGCCATGGTTACATTGATAAACATGCAGTCAAACGTATGAACAGTCAAGATGTTAAGCTACAAAAACATGGATAGAAAGGAAACAATTGGGTTTTAGATATGTACTATTTTAAGATTACAGGATAAAGGTAGACATGGTTACAATAATGAAAATGCGGTTACAGTTGATCATGGATAACAGAAACAATAAAGACTATTGTGTTACTATCAGTAGTCTTCTGTGTTATAGTCCTGTGTTTTGTTGATCCATCGTCTTTCTTATTACGTCATCTCACTTCCTCTTTTGCTCCTCTCATAACTCCTACTGAAGCTAGAGGTCACCTTGCCATAAAACATAACTATGGGTCATAAAAAGCTGCTGCACAGGCGACCTATGGGATCATTTTCTTTTAGGAGAGGGCAGTCTGCAAAAATATCCCAGACTGCTAAGCAGGAATACTAACAGAATACACTCTAGGTTTGTCCTAAGGTCTGTGACCACTTTCCCATTCACTTGACTGATTTCTATCAAACACAACTGCAAATATTAGTGACACAAAGGTTGTTAATAGATCTGTTTTACTTCAGTGTCCATCGTTTTCTCTCAGTTACAAGTTTAAGTTTCCACTTGTTTCCGGTGAAACTGACTTTTTGCAGGGTTTCAACAGAATAATGTGATCAACAGAAAAATAATGGCAACAGCTATTTCACTGCTCATTGAGAAAACCTACTTGTAGCATTAGGGGAAGATGTTTATATATAAAAGTTGAGTCTGGTGTGCTTCTCATCCTGACTAATTAAGATCCTTTAGATTGAGCCTGTTTGCCTGAATAAAAATCTATATTTGAGGGGCAAGTATTAGAAATTATATCTGTCTGAGTATGTGATGAGAATAATTAAACAATCAAAGATATTCTTTGATGAGAAGAAAACAAAGAATATTTAGATTTAAAACAATTCTATTTCTATTTCTATTGTAACTCTAAAAGACACTTAATAAATGCATTAGAATTTGCAAAATGTGTTTGCAAAAAAAATCTGGTCTGGTGTATGCAGGAGTTGTATAGCTTCTCACTAAGGCTATGAAAACACCATTTGGAGAAGGACTGTGATCGGTCAACATGGACTATTTGGGCTTCCTACAAAGTTCTGCTCGGTTTCTGATGTCTGTGGAGTTGAAGAAAATATGCAGCATTCTAAATAAAAGACTGAGTTGTCTGCTCATTTCAGTATTTAACAAATACATTGTCTCTCTGTTTCAGGGTGAATGAATGAACACAAACATTCAAACTGTACATATACAGACAAGGTGAAAAATAATGTACATTATGTATGGAATTACATGTAATGCTAATCTGTGGGTATATGTATTCCATTACAATGTAAAGTGAAAGTTACTGTGGGGAAAATAATTATAACAGGACATGTCAGGACAGGATCACTTAGGATTAATTCGTATAGTGTTGCTGTGGGACCACTGATGGGTGAAATTGCACGTTGAACTTTTAAATAAAACCCAAGCTGCGAGTATCTATGATGGGACTCCTATTAATGCCTCATGTCAAGCATAAATCCGGCTTTCAGAATCAGCGTGTCACAGTGTGCCACAATTTCATCTAATTGGAGAAACAAGGGTGAGTCTTTTTTTTAATCTACAGTCCAAATGCCAGTAGGATTATTGGACAGTAGTGAACATAGGGAAGTGTGTGAGCACTGGGAAACAGACTGCTGGATACAAATTAAAAAGAGAAGAGTCAAAATTAAAAGTAGGGCTCAACCTGCAAATCTCTGGATCACTTCTGTACTTGCAACTCAACTGTTTTGTTGTTCGAACTTGTGTGGTAAACAACCACTTCAAACTCCACAACCCTGGTTCATATCCTCAGACTTGACAAAGCTCCTGAAGTGCCACAGAAGACATTACACACTTGTTTTCACAAGCTGAATACTCCCCTTGCCTAGCAAATTGACTGTGACTGTTCTTTTGAAGCTGCCTTCAAACAAAGGTGCCAAATGTGATTTTAAACTCTGGGCCTCAACGCTGTAATCAGCACATTTTTATAACAATTACACCCACATAAAAGGGTGTGCACTCTCACCTTCCCTCTTGTTATATTACAGCCACCTATTCAATTCAAAAACCCACAAAGTACTGCAGTGTCCCATGACAGTGCATAAATGATTGAATTTTAATGATGCGTTTGCAATGGAGGGTGATGCGAAGGATGATCCAGGGGGGGGGGCAGGTGAGGTGAGGACAGTTCTGGTGTCAACACCTCCCCTGGAGATGCCCCCCACCTCAGTGCACTACTGAGTGGCTCCTCAAGTGGAGCTTCTTCTCAGTGTGTCACTCCATGCTGATGAATTAATTACTTCGACTTGCACTCAGTCACACACACAGAAACACAACCTGGCTCTTCTGGTTACCTTTGTTTTGCGATGCATCCACACTGAATGTCTTGCATGTTTTTCACAACTGAGTAACTCTAGGAATCAGCGTTAAGATGCACTCACTTGCTTGGCACAAAGCAGGGGAATCAACTACTGGCTCATTAATGAAGCATTTACTGCATCACTAATGAAGCACACTTTATTTTTACAAAGTGCGCTCCTTGTGAATTTCATCAGCAGCTCTGTACCTTGGCACAAAATCCACTGCATTAAAGGCAATTTATCTAATAAGCAGTAACATCACTTTTGTTAGGCATTAGTAAATGCTTTCTCAATTGATCTCATTTGAGTCTGGCAGCAGTGCCAGAGTAAAAGGGCAAACATTAGTAAAATGAACAACCTGCATCAATAATCCAGAGTCAAATCAGTGTATAAGTGCATGTCAAGCCACTATTAAAATTGCAGACTTCCACACAACAGCACCAGAACGCAACACACTCAGAGTTGAGCTTACCAGTCGTCTGATTCCAGCTCCAGAAAGGACTGACTCCTGTCAGAGGCACACTGCAGACACCACATGTTGCCCTCTGAGTTCCCTACACCAGACCCATCGCCGCCCTGATCTCTGTTACTCCATCCCTGGGCTAAACGTAGCTTTCACAGCCTAACCACACTGCTCGGACACCTTCTCCAACTCTGGACTTCTTTCATCCCAGTGAGGAGGAGCGTTCTCAGGAAGAGGGAGGGATTCCTCCAGAGGAAACTGGGTCGTATGGCAGCAGGAGTACTGGTGTCCCACAGATCAAGAGGGTCTTAAACAGGAAGGGGCGACAAGTAAGAAGTAAAAATGGGAGGGAAAGAAAGATAGGCCGAGGGAGCAAGCTCTGGTGGATTTATTAATAGCATCATGCAAAGATGAAGCCTGGGGAAACCCCTGGATAGGATATACAATTTTAGCTGCTACGACAGAGGAGTTATGGCTGCAGTAACTTTAGCTTTACATTCATACAACTGCCTTCAGATGTCAACCCTCAGCTTCATATGGAAGACATACACAGTGTCTGAGAAGAGAGAACACCTTCAACGGTTTCTAACAGTCGACGAAGAACAAGCAACAGCTGCGTGCCCAGTTGACCCGCCAAGCTGTCCTCAGAACAAACATTATAGTTAATAGGGAATGTTTGACTCACATCTCCTCCCATCTCTGTGCTGATGTTAAGCGTGATTTACACCCAACCCTCCACCCCTCCACCCCTTGCTCCTATTCCCCTGCTTCAGACCAAAAAGTGAAGGGATGAGGGGCCTATCCGTTTCCACATAATGACATCATTATCCAAACAACGGGCGTGTATCAAGTGGACCAAAGATGTAATCGGCCAAAGCAACCAAGCAGCATAAAGAAATATGATAAGAGAGCTAATAGGTTTAGTTTGGGTTGAGATCCACCATGACAGTAAGGTCAGATTCAGTGCCTCAAGAAAATGTATTCTCAATGACTCTACATAATGTGGAAATGATCCTAATTACAGTATATAACAAGTGAGAGGGAATAGGGAATAGGTGCAGAATGCCTCTCTTATAGGCCATTACAGAGCTTAATACCAAGGAGCAAATGCCTCCCATATGGTGGAGGTTCATGTTAAGTGCAGCTGAGACAAATATGGTGAATGTGGAGTTACTCATAGCTCATTATGAAATAAAAATAACGTTGAGCACAAGGATAGTGGACCGATCATGATTTCTTCATCCATGGCCCAAACCTAGAAATATTGCGCCAAGGTCCTGATCTAATAAAATTGGAGTTTCGTGAAAGTGGACACTAATTTAAACATTAAGTCAACCTCATTGTTTCCTTTGGCATCAATCATGACTTTGAAGCTCAACATAAAGCTGCAGCAGTTAACACAGACGGAACACACGATACATCTGTTTGAATGCAGAGAGGCGGCTGCTTCTGATCAGACCTTGAGTTATTTTTGTCCTTCTCATGTCGTGACACCGAAGAGCCAGACTGTAGCGACTGTAGTTATCGTCGAGAGGTGATGAGACTGAATCTGAGCCAAACACTGAGCCAGGGGAACACTCACAAATCACAGTGTTGTGACAAATCTAAAATGTATGCACTGAGCTGTGATCGTCCCTTCACAATATAAATGGATTTGTAATGGACAACCTCATGTGTTGGCGCCACCAAAATGACAATGACAGATAACCAATGGAAAACTGAAGTTCACTGAGATTATGGTTATTGTGTCATTAATTACACCCCATTAAAGTCACTGTTGACAACCTGTCCAGTAAACTGAAGTTTCTTCTCAGTACGAGCTGATGTAATATTTTCACTAGTGTAGCAGTATACACTGGTGTATGTTTAAAGAAATGTTCAACATTTCAGGAAATGCAAAAAAATGCATATTTTTCTGAGTGTTAGATCTGTGTGTTGTGTCTGCTCTTATGTCTCTGTGTTAAGTGTGGAGCTGGAGCCAGGGAACCAGCCTTCTTGGCTCAAAACCTCGGAAATTAAGACATATCTGGTTTATTGAATATGTAGAAAAGGGATTATTTACATGTTACGACTATTTCTTGATGAACAAAAGTTTCTCCATTGGCCTAAACATCAAGAATTGAAACTAATACTTCATCCATTAATTTAATCTATCTTAACTGTTTATCCATTACTTTTAGCAAACTTGTAACTTCTCCTTGTTTGCAACTAGTTTTAACATATTCTGAACACGTGGTCTTCAACTGTGTGTTTTAAATCCACGTGGGCGCATGTGATGAACATGTAACCTTTTATTAGTCTTTCTGTATAAACCCAACAAAGTGCATAAAACCACCCTGGGTAGAGGAACCCCTGATTATGAATAACTGGTGTAAGAATATAAAAGTTGTTTGTTGGTGTTTATAGTTTTTCATATCGACACAGATTTACAGTCAAAGACTCTTCTTATTAACTCACAGCATTTGGTGTAAAGTTCTGTCTATTGTGTCGTTCCATAATAAAAAAAAAAATCTTATTATTCAACCATTGCTGACTCTGCAGCTCATTTTCAACCAATTTGCATCAGGTTCCCCTATTGACTTTTGAGGTACGTGTGCAGAATGACAACACCTGAAGAAAGCAGATGGGGCTCTGTTCGTGACAGGAATAACTGCTTGATATATACCGGTTATATATTCTCAGAGAATGACCTCAATGCAAGTTAGATGGTTAATATGGTGGTGACACTCTCAGTTGAACACTGTTCTTTGATTCTTTTATGGCTTGTCTTAGACACACACCTGTCACAGTCTGTCTTGACTCCAAAGTGGAAACAGCAGGATCTCTCATCCTTGTGTAAATCCCTGCATCAGTTCCAGCTCCTCAGCAGGCCCTATGGAGCATGTCACAGATCTGGTCTATAACTATAACCACCTGTTCTACCCTCTGCCCCTTCTTCAGCAGTCAGGATGACGCCGTGCCACTCCCACACATTCCCTATCCCACATATTGCATGAGACCGTTTCTTATTCAGCAGGGACAAAAATAGAGTCACTGACAGACATTGCATTTTCTGGTCTGCTTGGTAAGTAAATTGACCAGTTTGTGTGAGTTGGGCCAGCTGGAGACAAATGTGTCTGCACATCCACCTCCCAGATGCGACGGTCTGTGGCTGAAAACAACAGCAGCACTGATTAGGGACACAAGGAGCTCGCTGAGTTTCACCGAGCAGAGGAAACAGGAAGCTCTGACAAATATGCTGTTAAATGGCACAAAATTGTTCATACAGCAAACCTGCATGATTCTACCTTATAACATTCTACCTTATAAGTAGAAACATTATATTCCCAATACCTGCTGTGCTAAGCTGAGCTATGTGCTTCCTTGTACGGCCGACAACGTCAAAGCCTCAAAGCCAAACATCAGCCACATACATATTCTACAATCATATACAATCAATTTAACATGATGTGGCTGAGTGTAATTGATGAGAATTATAATCATTAACATGTCTATCTGGGTCTTCTGACATCTGCAGTAGCTGCTAGTAACAGCATGAGTTATTGTCCACAGAAGAAGAGCCACTGGAGTATCATGCAGCCTAACAGAGCATGGGGGACATTTAATTCATCACGTCACATTGTTTGAAAAAAGAATGAATAAAGAAAACGCTAAACATTCTCTCTATCTTGCAGTTCTAACCCTGGACCTCCAATTAAATGTTGGGGGCAGCTGTTACTCCGGGGTTAGAGCGGTTTTCCTCGCAGACGGAATATCGGCGGTTCGATCCCAGTCTTCCCCTTTATGCATGTACAAGATACTGAATCCCAAATTGGGTGTGAATGTATAACTGTACTGTAAAGCGGTTATCAGGCACTATATAGTATTAATACAGACCATTTACCATATACATGGACCAGTTCTGTCTTCTGCTTTATGTCCAGAACATGTGAATGTCCTGTAAATATGTAATTTAAATTCTGCATGGGAAACAGGGACTATATAGAGAAGTATTTATGGAATATGTTAAATGGCTTATTGCTAAAAAGAAAGCTGATATCAAAGATTGTACTTAATGTATACAATGAAACGCTTGACCTCAAATGATTCACCCAGGATCAAACTAAAGTTGACAAATGATAAAAATAGCCCTGTCAACTATAAATTAAATTACATATACTACTGATTTTTAAGAGCAAATATGTCTCGAGAGAAATGAAATCCGATGAAGATAATAAAGCAACAGATAAAGTCAGTTAACTGCATACATCTTCACTGGCAACACATTTCAGTTGTTTTCCTGACAATATCTGCAGGTGATAACTAAAGCATGATGAATAGGTAGGCACTTCATTACAGTTAATGAAAGATGGCAGTCGTGGTCTTGGTCTATGAGACAGAATGTGTTAACTTTTTCAATGTGTAACAAAGACCTACCTCAATTCCTAATGTTAACAAATGTGTTGTAGTCGGCGGAAATCATGCGATACACAATTCAAACAAGTTATGGATACAAAAAAAAGAAAACATTGTCAGTGAATGTAATCCAGCCAGCAGAAATGTTTCCAGGGAATGGTTTTAGATTAGTGTATTCGCTGTAGCTTGAAATACAAGGCTGTACTTGACCTGATTTCATTCACAATCCATTTCATCTTAATTATGAGCTAGAACTGAACGTACACAAACACACATGCAATTAAACTACAATTTAGAGCCAGTAACAGAGTCAAAAGTGCTGTTTTCCATTACTCTACACAGACTTGGCCTGAAGACGGTGTAGCGTGTTTTCACAAGTGTACTGGGCAAAGCCACAACATGCCAGTACATTTATAATTATCTCCTGAGTCAGCATCATGTCCTGTTTACAGTCACTGGGGAATATGTTCATTCTGACAAAGATCGAGACAGTGTCTGCCCTCGTGCTCTGAATGAGTTCCAACCATCATCCACACCCCAAACGGAGTGCAGTGGTCCAGTGGGCTGATTGTGTCTCTGCTGTAAAGCTGTTGACTTCAGCCCTGTAATCCCAGAACCCACCCACGTGTGGCCTTCAGAGGGAGGTGACGACCCTGCGCTCTCAGCCTTGAGCCTCCAA